AATTAAAATGCTTTATTACCTGAATAGGTTTTTAGTTTGTTCTTAAAAACATCAGCAGAATCAGGTAAGAGCAAGGATAAGAAAGGAGTTATTCTTCCCTGGTCCTGTAACGACCAGGTTCTGGTTCCGAGACCTCAGCCTCTGAGGTATAGGGACACAACAAGTCTGTAATGTAGGAGGAAGCCCGACCATAAAAGGCTCTGAAGGTCAGCAGCAGGTCAGTCATAAGAAGGTGTTTTATTCTTAGTGCTTCATCGGATCAAGAGAGAAAGGTTTCTATAGGGATAGCCTTAGTTACATAAATAAATTATTTGTGTGTGACAGGAAAGGATTTAAGACTAAGAAAACGGACATAACTAAGAATTATACCATGAGAATAAAAAAGGTCAAATGGAAAAACAGCATTTTTGTCAACCCAGTTCTAATCTATACAAATGTGGATTTTTATCCTGATAGTAATATCTATATTACTCAAAATGATGATTAAGTGATGAGAAAAATGGTGGGATCAGCACAGTTTCCACCCTAAGAGAGCCTGTTGGTGATATTTGGATAGTTTTAAAGGTAATTTGGTAACACTGTAATTACAGGTGTTAGGAATCCAGTTTGTGTGGGTTGTTTGTGTGTTTCTTCTCTCTCCACCACCAGGTGGTGCCCTGTCCTCGTTGGGCCTCCCTGCACATCTGCAGCTCGTTGGTTCATTACTGGAGGAGTATTTGAGCTGTGGGCTGTCACCACCTCGACGCCAGAGTGTTTGACAGTTTTGGGTACTCTAGCCAAGCTGAGATTAGCTGAGTCTAACCTGAGCCTTTTTTCTGTGAGTCTTATTTTGTTTTTGTCTTTGCTCTTCGGTGGGAAGTCTTCCTGTGTAACTGGATACCTAGACCTTCTCCCCCTGGAAGGATTTACTCTGAATTCACACTGAGCAGGGGAAAACCTCCACAGGATCCGTTCACGTTCCCACCAGAAATCCAAGTGACAGTCCGCTCCATTACTCCTCCGGGTCCAACGTATGTCTACCTGTCCGCTCGCCAACGAGTTCCCTCTTCTCTGGATAAACCCACACAGACCAGATTCAAGGATTGACAAGAGCCCCCTCAAAAGTGAGTCCAATTCCAGCATAATTCAAGCCGCATTCTCATGTCCCTGAACTGATCTCTGTGATCTTCCCTTCAGACTTTCCAGTTCCAGTTTACCAGTTCTCTGAATTCCAGATCCAACCTCCGTTCACATTGCTAGAAATAAACCTGTTAAACTTTTCTCCGTGTTCTCTGAGTGGTTTCTCTGCATGTGGGTCAGATTCCTTAAACCGATTATGACAACAGGTGAGTAAAAAATGTAGACCACCCAATTGAAAAAAAAAAATATTATTCAGAATTAAAAAAAACAAAAAATTGATTTAGGGGTGTTGTGCCATTCCTTGATCTATTTTATTTTAAAGGTGTTATTCAAATGATTGAAAATGTATAATTCAAACCCTCCTTGTGTTTTTGGGTGTTGAGAGAAATTCATTCTTCAAAAGAGGTTTATTATTTTTCCAGATAAAATAGCTGAGAATTGTATTTACTTCTTTGGATGATGAATCTTCAATTTCAGTTTTAGAGTCCTTTAGCATTGGGTAATTTTGTGACACCAAGCAGAATGAAACGGGTAAGAATATGCCCTTTTAATAATATCTAACTATATACTATTGGTTGAGCAGCTGACATAATGGGACACAATTGATCATACTCTATCTAAATTACAGAATTTCAGTCAAACAAGAAAATCAACCTATTCTGAGCAGGGCAAAAAGAATCCCTGGTAAATAAAGCTGTTTAGTGTTCATACTTCCTCTGAAAGATAATCACTGATTACTATAGGAGCATCCCTCAATAGGACTTAATATAGGGGCACCATTGTGTGTTTTTCTATGGAGTGTGTCAGCTGCACAGCTGTGGGGGGATTCGCTGTCAGAGTGTGGAGACAGTTGATGAGAATTATTTCCCTCTTATTCAGGATAATAGACAGAAAAGTTGCTTGAAAGAGCCAACTACATCTTTAGGGACTTTACACACCCACATCACAATCTGTTCACACTGCTCAAGTCTGGCAGGAGGTTTTGAATTATGAGGAGCAGGATAAAGACTCTGTAGCAGTCATAACCCCCAAACCATAAGGCTACTAAAGAACAAACCCTCTCTCCAACAGATGGAAAGCTTTGCATAAAATCTGGGAGGTTATTTGACATCCTAAACTCCAGTAAAATATATAAAGAGATCACAGACACACAGGTTGTTTTTTTCCCTTTGATGCTTCAAAGTAGCTCTTAGTGTATAGTGGAAAACTGGGAATGAGTTGCAGTTAAGTTTGCCAGATAGATTGGCTCAGTAGCTGCGCTTGTAAAGATGAGTGTGGATGAGGAAGTGGATCTTTAAAAGATCTGTTAAAGTTTTCCACTGACCAGAAGAAATAAAAAAAAAATGCTTCTTTCTAAACTGTACCAAGAGTGTTGGGATTTTTCTTTTCTATATGAAAAAATATTTCCATCCATCCATTCATCCATTTCAATCACGCTTATCCCTGCTGGGGTTGCGAGGGGTGCGGGTGCCTATCTCCAGCTGTCCATGGGGAGAGGTGGGGTAGTCTCTGAACAGGTCCATCGCAGGGCAACACAGAGACAAATCGGACAAACAATCATTCACGCACACACTCACACCTCATGTTTTTAGACAGTGGGAGAAAGGCAGAGTACCTGGAGAGAACCCATGCATGATCAGGGAGAACATGCAAACCACGCAGAAAGACCAAGGATCGGGAATCGAACTCAGAACCGTCTTGCTGCAAGGGATAAATGCTACCCACTGCTGCACTGTGCAGCCCTAATATTTACAGTGTTTTCTTAATTTTCTAATTGTCTAAGATGACAGGTGAAAAATATTTAGTTCACTGTGACAGTTTATATATTTTCCTAAAATTTGGATGAACTCTTGGGTCATATTAAAAAAATAAAACACATGCCTTCTTGTTTATTGTGGCTTTTAAATATTATGTTGTTCATTTACTCCTCATAATATGTTTTATTAAATTATTTTTCTTATGAACTATTCTCTGCTGGGGTTATTGTACGGTAGTTTCTCACTTTATTTCTGCTCAGCTCCACTCCTGCCACTGTGTGATGATTTTCATTCAGCTTACTTCCTCGACATATTTTCTACCAGATATTCATGCAACCCTTCCTTCTCCCTTTGTATTTATGCCTGTAATTTTCTACGCTCCTCATCAGAAAATACTTTGATTCATTTTTCATGCCTTTCCAGCCTATATTCATGGAGTCTCATTCTTGGACTTTTCATTAAATCATTTCTAACTCACTGTTCTTCTCCTGCCTGTCTCTATACTGGGTCCTGCCCAGAGAACCACATCTTGACACAAAGTCAATGCTGAGGGAAGTGTAGAGAAAGGAATTGCACCAAGGGGCCGTCATGGGATGCCCTCAGTCTCTTCTTGAAACAGAACAACTCAGCAGTGGACTATGGAATTTTGTTTTATCATTCTTTATAATTATTTTTAGAGCGTTTAATCATATTAGTATTTAAACAGTCATAGAGATTTCAAAATGACACGGTATAAAAGAAAATTAGAAATCAAAAGAAACAACAAAAATGTTTATCATGTATGTGTATCAGGTAAACAGATGCCTCCAGTTCATAGGTCAGTATTGGTAGCTGATTTTACAACCCAGTATCCATGAAGTAGCCCTCAGCCTTAAAAAGGATGTTGACCCTAGATCTATGGGATGAAAATTAGATGACTTGAGTTGAGCAGAACACAATGTAACCTAGACTCACCGACCACTTTATTAAAGGAGAACGCCGTTTTTTTTTTTATTGGGCCCTTGATTTTAGGAAGGTTGAGGAAGGTTTCCAGGATCTTGTTAAATCTATACCACGAAAGCTTAAGTAGTTTTGAAGGCAAAATGGGATCCAACCCTAAACTAGCAAGATGTACTTAAAGGTGAATGCCTGTTTTTTTACATTGGGCCCTTGATTTTACGTTATTACATCATGTTCTACTCACCCATATGAGTTTTGTGTCATTTGGAGCTGCTCTGAAAACGCCTTCATGGTACAGATTTAACAAGGTACAGGAAACCTTCCTTAAAGATTTCTGTCATTATTGACAGAATTCTGATGATTTCAGAATTAGACATCCCCAGTTATTAATTTCATACACTCACCAAATCTGAACGCCCTGTTAAAAAACTTCACACCCATGAGTAGCGATAATGCAGCCTGATGATATTTACACCACATCAGATAGCGTCCCCCCTATGTTAAAAAGAGGGAACGCTATCTGACGGGTTTTAGAAGCCCAACAGATAGCGTTCCCACCTGATGTCATTTACATTGAGTTGCAATAAATGCAAAACTCTCTGCAGGTACTTGCCTTTGTCGTCCGCTCTATTCAGCTGGCTTTTGAAACACACAGCGTGAAGGTGGGGGACAGTTGGTGAGGGTTACGGGGGCGAGAAACGCAAAAGTAACGCAATAGTTACTTTTACTAGTAACTAGTTACTTCAATTGTGGAGTAACTCAGTTAGTAACTCAGTTACTTTTTGGGAGAGGTAACCAGTAACTATAACAAATGATTTTTTTCAAAGTAACGTTCCCAACACGGCAAGTAAATAGCTAATTATTTAGGAGCAGTTGGACAGGTGTACCTAATGAAGCGGATGGTGAGTGTAAGACATAATTAATTAATAAAGCAACACCTCACAAATAAATATACTAAATGTGGCAAGAACAGACTTTTTAAACCATTTAAAATATGGGGGAGGGTTTAGGGGGGGGGGGGACAACATCCTGTTAATGCCCTGCTGCTGCCATCTGAGGCTGAGGTTTTCCGTCAGTGAGAAAAAAACAAACCAAAGATAACTTATGACATCAGGTCCCACCAACTTCAGTTCCTGGATGGAGGTTAGTTAATCCCACTTCCAAGCCGGATTTCTAAAAAAAGGCAATGGGCAGAAACAAAAAAAAGGGACAACACCGGGATGAGGAAATTGGCCGTGAGCAAAACAAAGTTGTTTATTGCTGATAAGCATACAACCTGCAACCTGATGATCAGTGGGTCAGTCTCCTTCAGAGCAGATCGTTGTTCCCCTCTGACTCTCTCTCTAACCGCCCTGCATCCAGTGATGTCCCTCCTGCTCCTCACCCTGCTCTCCTCTCTAGTGCTGCGTGATGCTGAGGCGTGGGGCGCGGGCGTGAAGTATGCGGTGAACTGCCCGGACAGATGCAGCGTGGAGCGTTGCGGCGGCACTCTGCGCTGTGCGCGCACAGTCCTGGATGACTGCGGCTGCTGCCAGGTCTGCGCGGCCGCCAGAGGAGAGCACTGCTACCGCACCGTGTCTGGGATGCACGGCGTCAAGTGCGGACCGGGGCTGTTCTGCGAGTTTTACAAGGATGAGGACGACTATGGAGACGAGTACGGGATTTGCAAAGGTATGACGTAAACTCTGATGTGGTGATGATCAAATCTGGATTTATGTAATATATATATATTTTTTTACATTTTAACGCACTGGTCAGAATTTGGCCTTATTGTTAAGCCATATCTTTGTTATTCGAAATAAAATATTGCATTTCTATTAATAAATTGTTGCTCAAATAAAATGCATTTTGTTTAATTTAATTTAAACTGGTATTTTCCCTCTTTACAGACTGTCCTTATGGGACATATGGGGTTGAGTGCCGCAAAACCTGCAGCTGCAAAGGAGGCATATGTGACAGGGAAACTGGAGCCTGCCTCACCCTCACATTCTTTGCCAAAATTGCCAGCAAGCTCAAAACTGGCCCTCAAGCAGGTGAATTTATACTTAAAAAAACACAATTATCACATTGAATGTCATTATATTAGTTCTGCACATAGCTTTAAAAAAGATAATTAAACTATTTTGTTTTTCAGGGTCTGAGATTAATTCAGGACAAGTGGTTTCTGCACAGAGCATAGACAGGTCCAGTGCTCCAAAGAGGCTCAACCCTCGCTGACAAAAAAAGAAGGCAAAAAACTGTTCAAATGTTCAGTCTAAATGTAGCATTAATTTATATATAAACAAAGTATGTTTAACTATGTATGAGATCATCCTGACCAGCATTTTAAATCTTGTTTGGTTCTTTTTTAATCTTTTCTGCTCTTTAAATATTGGTTTTATTGCTTTTTCCCTTGTTGATTGTAATCTATTGCAATTCTATATTCATCAACAAATACTTTAAACATCAGTTTATCATTTCCATTATAGCTCTGTATGGTGCATACAAACCAAATGGGGGACATTCTTGAAAAACATGAACAAATTGATTTCAATTTATATGATACAGGTAACTGTTAAAGTATACTATTTTAGCCCAAATCAATTTCTATAATAATGGAAATGGTCTGACGTTTCCAGAATGAATGGATTAAAAGAATTTTATGATTATACCCAAATGCATTTGAACCAGTAAAGTAAGCGCAGTTAAATATTTATGGAAATCCAAGCTGACTTTGCAAGAGTTATTTGGGGCTTCTGTTGTCAAATTAAAACTCTGAGTAGAGATTAAATTCAAACTTTACAACTCCTGCAAAAGATATATATATTCTAAACATTAATGTTTGTTCAACCTTGTATTTTAATAACATTTTAAAATGTTGTTGCTAAAACTTTAACCTAAAAAAGATACTTCTAAATTACAGGAAATGTTTTAAAAAAGAAACATTATTGATGAGGTGTTAATAACATTTTCTTCATCCAAGACCGTTTTGATAATTTTTGGGTTTATTTCTGCATATTTAGTTGTTTCTTTTTAAAATAAATTAAAGTGAATGAAGGTTTAATTCCTAACAGCCAAAGTTTTTTTAATTATATTTTGCCTTGTATATCATTGCTGCTGAAATTTACCTGTGGCAATATTTTTTGTTTTATTGACTATTTTATTTTCATAATATCCAGTTTTTTGGTTTCTTTTAAGTATTATGTGTATCTCTATGTCCCTGTACAGAAGTACTCAACAATAAAAATTTATAACCAACTATATTCATTTTTGTTAACTGAAGTCTTTTGTGTTGGGCATTATATTGTTTTTCCAAGGAACTTCAATAATTCAATGGCTTAGATCTATAATATAATTTAATCAGTTTCATACAAAGGCTCTGTTATTATTTATTAAATAAGGTTCTGTTATAATTTCAAAGATTTTCAATGACGGACTTTATTCTTGAACTGAAGCATAATTAATTGAATGATGGAAAATAATAAGAAACAGAGAAACTGTAAAGCTTGTTGCACAGGCAGAAAAATTATAGAAGTTTATAAGTTTAACAAAATTGTGCCAAAATGCTAACACTGCACAAAAAGAATACGTTCTAAGGAAAATAATTTTTTTTTTATTGAATTAACATGGTAATATATTGTATAAATTCTCTGTAAATAAGCCAGACTGAAATATTAATACCTGAATGTGAAAGATCAAAACATAAAAAGGCATCTCAGCTAAAATAAATGAAAAAAAGCACATTAAAAAGAATCTAATTAATTTGACAAGTTCTCACAACAGTTTTCTCTTCCCTATAAATAACTCCTATTACCATCACCTCTCACCCTTTCTGGTAGGAAAATGTTTTCCAGTATTCAGCCTGTTTATTTCCTGCACTTCCTGACACCTGTGAAAATGGCCCTTCTTCCTGTTGTTGTTGTGTCTGCCCAGAGCAGGAATTTAAAGCAGGTTTTTTTTTTTTTTTTTCCTCAAGTGACACTGCAAAAGCTTGGAATGTATCAGTGACGTACAGCCGCAATAGCTTTGTCACTGGTTTGACAGTAAGTGGAGAATATCTTTATTTTATTCTCTTATATTTTAAAATGAGCCTCCAGTGAGCAGATTACTACAGGGGAAGGCACCCAACATTAATTAAATATATTATGATCGGTTTAATGCTAAAATATTTATTAATTGAACATCAAGGTTAAGTTTTGAAATATATGATAGTGGAAAAAGGAGATCCCTTTTTAATGGGTATCTTATTATAAGTGTATATTGATTGTAAAATTAATCATCTGGATTTGTTGCTTAAAAGCAATAAGGAATGTCTTTATTTAGAGGATGCAACTTTTTTTTTAAATAACAGGTAATAAAATTTAATGTAAAAAAAAGTTAATGGAGGAGTTGTTTTTATAAAAAAGTTAATGAGTTTTTTCTTTTAATTCACAGAAAACAGGCGTAAAATATCATAGAGTATCATACAATAAATAAATCCTGCATGGTGCTGTAAAAAAAAAAAGTAGTATCCACCACCTATGGATTATTCTGCACTGTTAAGGACAACAAGGAATATATATATATATATATATATATATATATATATATATATATATATATATATATATATATATATATATATATATATAAAAGGCCATTCTGAAAGTCAAACATGGCCATAATGCTGATAGTATAGATGACAATGCACTACAAATGCATAAATGCATTGTAAATACCATAAGTAATGCAAATGCTATCAAAAGACAATGGAAAAAAGAGAGCAGTAAAGTTTAAATGTGCAGCAAATACATACTGTTGGATATACATAGATGATGCCAACACAGAGACATGCCATCTGCACTTTAGGTATACCTAGAGGAGATAAAGGCACGGTTTCTGACAACTTTCTTCAATTAAGTATCGGCAAAACCAAAGCCATCCTGATCGGTACTCCACACCTAACCAAGTCTTCTCTCTCAGCAGTATACCAATTTTTGGTCATCACATTTAACAGTCTACCTCTGTTACAAACGTTGGTGTCAGACTTGACTCCAACCTGACATTTTAACACCCACATCTGCCACCTCTGCAAGTTTTCCTTCTTGCACCTTAAAAACATTGCCACACTCCGCCTTTCGCTCTACCTACTGGATGCTGATAGGTTGATCTATGCCTTTATCTCTTCTAGGTTGGACTACTGCAATCCTTGTCGTGATCCCTTGCAGATACCTACAAAGGCTCCTCTCTCACCAGTGCATGCATGAAACGACCCCAAAATGACACTGTCTCAGAAAACTCATCTCCTATCATCCTCCACCTACTGCCTCCACCAACCAAAAACTAAACTCTCCACTATGAGAGAGTTGCTGAACTGGAGTTGTAGGAAAACAGACTAGTGGTAGGCGGAAAATGGCTGAACAGAGTGGTGACTAAGGCAGAGGCAGAGGCTGACCAGTCAGAAGCAGATAAGAAATCAATGAAGGCAAGCAGAGCAAGTGCTAATAGGCAGAGAAACAGAGGGGAATAATGAGGGTGATTAGGAGAGAAACAGGTGCATCTGCTCACTCTAATTAACTTCTCAAAACCTACTGGTTTAAAGCGTTTACAAATAATAACTCAGAATGCATGAAAATTACACTGTTAAAATGTTTACCAATATGGACATGTTAGACATCGTTGGAAAGCTTCGATTCTCCACAATCCAACCACCTGGTTCTTTTTATGGACACAGCGAGCACCAAAGCACAATTAACACAGATATAGCAGCATGTCAAAATGTACAATGACAAAGCAGCCACAACAAGCAAGCATGTCTTTATAACTGCTATTCAAAAAATACCTATTATTTTCGAGAATAAATAACAACAACTTTGAGTCTTGTTTGGACTGATGCAGCTTGGGTGTTTCACTCACCCAATTTTCATGTATATATTCAGAAACTAGAAGGTATTAGCTTCCAAATAATGTATCACACATGTAATTTGGGATTACAGTTCCTACACTATTTGCTTTTCCATTTGGATATGCAAAATAGGTGAGAATTTCCCAAAATAAGATGGATATTAAAAAGTTAACAAAATGGAGCAGAGCAAAGAGTGGCAAGTAGCCAGCCAACACTTTTATGTTGCTGACTTTTTTATTGCCTCTATTCTTAACCTCAGTAACAGCCCCATAACCAGGGACAAAATTGCTGTTGTCAGGCTCACCTTTAAATACTGCTATACATTCAATTCTGTTTGAGGACAAAGGGTCAAAGTTCCTTAAGCATACTGGTCTTTGCTGTGACATTAGGATTTTCCAAAGAAAAGTGCATATAATTTATTAATTTTACAAATGATCAAACATTTTTCTATATTAGTTGTTGCTAATCCAGCTGTTTAAAACTATAAATGTTAATTGCTACAAAGAATACAAGGTAACAAGTTCAAATATAAGCATAAATGTATTGAACAAAAACAAAAAGTTTGAATTGCAAATTTTATTTACATTTTTTTCTTTTGGCTTGCAATTTGTTATGTGTACAGGATTCATATTGGACAATGAGATCAGGTCTGGTGAGAAACCTCTAACTTTCCAACTTGGATTTCAGGGAACTATCACAAACACAGCAAATGAAGCTGTGTTGTACCTTTGTATTGAAATGTCTTTAGTAGCACATGTACTAAAAGAGCATGCTGAGAATCACTGCTTTAAAACATAATCCCAAAAAGAGTTTAAGCTACTTCAGCTATTCTGTGTGTCAGATTATGAATGTGAAATCTGGCTATAGTTTATTAGATAACAGTGCAGTGCGAGCTTTAAAGAAAAATTATTTATCCCAGAGATTTGGCATGAGAAAAAAATATTCAAAGTAGGCTAAATAAAATGAGACAGGTATGGGAGCAGTCTCTGTGTGAGGGCAGGAGCGTTCTTAAGTGCTCGGACTCAAGTGTTCCTCTTATTCCCTTGAGAACCAGCAGGCCAAAGTCCCCCAGCCAAACAAAGGAGCCTTGAAAATAACAGGAAAGCATTGGTGAGAAAACCTCTTTATCTGACTCCCTGAGCACGTCACTGCCGCCTCTGCAAAAACAAAGGTGCTTGAATGATGTAGTAAATAACACCAATTTGCTGCAAATAGATTTTCTGGGATTTACAGTCAGGCCCTAGCCTCAACAGGTTGTTTACCAGGGCTGAGGAATGACACGGTTTATTGGAAACAACACATTTACAGTGCAAACAAGGAAATTAAAGTATGCCATTGATTACATTGATTAGAAACATCAAAACTGAGGCCTGTGAAGAGAAACAGGAAATGCGTCATCTCAGTGACTAGAATTATGGGAACTCAGTCAGATATATAAATAATTATTTTGTTCTAGTTCTGTTTCTCTCTAGCCGTAATTTCAATGTTGCACTTGTGTTTCCCAGAAATCCTGTAAGCAAAAACACTTAGATGCAATAGCCTTGACCTTTGTGACTTTGCAGTTGTTTGACCTTTAAATTATATTTACAAAATGACAAAAGGAGAAATATGTTCCAGAACTTTAAATCTCTTAAGCAGAAACATAAATATAAGCCAAAGAAAAGTTCAGAGTCTGGACAGAAGTTGAAAGATTTTCAAAATGTGTGAGTAAATCAAATTTTAAATGAATTTAAATTTCAAGCAAGGATTTTATCCTCTTATTACATTATGTCTAGCCAATTTTTTCATATATTGCCATTTTGATATTTAAATAATTTTAGGTGTTGAGCTTCAGGATCCATCTTTTTCTCTGTAAATAAATTATGGTTGCCTATTAATGACACTTAAAAAGAAAACAAAAATTCTTAATAAAATCCTTTTTATACAGTATGAACCTGGTTGACCTCTGCAACCATGGCATGATATATTTGTACAATTTATGTTTTAATACCTGAACAGCCCGGCTCAGTGGGTAGCACTGCTGCCTTGCAGCAAGAAGATTCTGAGTTCGATTCCCTGCCTGGGAGTTTCTGCATGGAGTTTGCATGGTTTCCCTGAGCATGTGTAGGTTTTCTCTGGTTACTCCGGCTTCCTCCCACAGTCCAAAACATGACTGTTAGGTTTGTTGGCTTGTCTAAATTCTCCTTAGGTGTGAATGGTTGTTTGTCTATGTGTTGCCCTGTGATGGATTGGTGACCTGTCCAGGGTCAGGTGCCTCTTTCCTCTAGACAGCTGGAGATAGGCACCAG